CCCATTATATTACCTATTGATAATCATGCTCTAAACAAAACAAGCTCTTAAATTCTAAAGATCAAAACTTTTTTGATTTGCTAATCTAAAGATCAAAACTTTTTATATCAATATTAAAATGTCTTAACATAAATACCCACCCACTAACCAACTTTGTGGGAAAAAAATGGTAAAAAAAAAACCAACAAATTGAAGGACTTTTAACTTTAATTGTTTTCCATCATTTAAGTACCAAAAATGGCGGAGATCATATGTAACATATGTTTGTAGACTACCCAACAACAAAAAAATTACCTTTTTTCTCAAAAATAATTAGAGATTATATCTCTCAACAAACCCATTTTTTTCGTTTTTTTTTTTCCTTAATTTCTCGTGAATGACAAAACAAAATTTGTTCTTTTTTTTTTGTGAGCTGGAAAATGGCTGGAAGAAAATAAACCTAATCTTTCACCAAGAATCGATTCACAATCTTTACGCTTGGCTCCAACACTTCCTTGTCCCAAATCTCTCTTCTTCTTCTTTCTCCCGAACCCATCAACACTTCTTTAAACGACGTCGTTGCATCAACTCTCTGTATCTCCCAACCAGCGTTTCTCAGTTTCTCAATCTTCTTTACTTGTCTCTTCGCTAACCTCAACGTGTTCTCTTTGATAACCTCCACCGTCTTATCGTACGCCGTTTTCCTCCCGAAATCCCACTCTTTCTTTTCCGGTGGATACTCTCTAAAGTAATCTTCAAACTCCGGTACACCTATCGCTTTCCGGATCCCAAACCGGGTCATACTCGATCTAACCGGGTCGTAAAACCTGGAAAGCTCCTCGAACATACCCGAATCCATCATCTCATCGACCCGTTTCACTAAATACTCGAACAGTACAGTCTCCGACACATCTACCCAGATGAAACAGCTGTCGTAACGCAAACTCCGGCAGATTGATTCCGACGAAGAAAAAGGATCGATTTTTATGTCGAAGTGTTCGGCGAGGAGTGCGTGTACGAACGAGTTAGATCCACCGGCGATAATCGGAAGCTTTTTACGGGAGATTAAGTCGGAGACGGCGTTGGAGGCGGCGAAACGGAAATCTCCGGCGGTGAGTTCGCCGTCTTCGTGACGGAGATAACCGATTAGATGGTGAGGAACGCCGCGACGGTCAGGGATTGTAATCTGATTGGTGGTTATCTCTAATCCTTCGTAGACTTGTATTTTGTCGGAGTTTATGATCTCTGAAGGGAAACGAGTAGCGAGATCGACGGAAAGTTTTGATTTTCCGGCGCCGGTTGCTCCTAAGATAACGACGACTTTATCTTTCCGATTCTTTGGTCGTGACTGCTCCATGCGTACGGAATAAACTGGTTGGTTTTGGTTTCTTCGACGTTTGGTGAATGAAAGAAGAGAATGTGAGGAGAATGACGGTGACGTCGTCGCCGTCGTGAGTCTATCGGAGATTAATGGGAGGAAGTTGAGTTCTGACATTTAACGGAAAGAGACAAAAAAAAAAGCGTTTTTTTTCTTAGTACGGCTTTTTTGTTTGTGTTTTTGAAACGATGCACCACACTACAA